TGAAATAAATGAACTTTTCCACGACATTGTAATTTATTGAGATGCGCCTGTATTTGTTTAGGACTGTTTTGAACTGTTGTAACTTGTAAACAGTGCTTGAGCTGTGCATATTTCTCTCCTGATTCAGAGGAGACGACTTTTTCAATGGAGAGGCAATAATGTTATGGATAGAGGACTCATATTTTAGCCAGTAGCAATGTTTGTTAGTTAAAAACATCTTGATGGATTTGCTTATTAAGAAAACACAGCTATTCCCTTCATTTAGGTGAACTATTCCTTTAACCCTTTGCACAAAGAATGACATCACTGCAGTAGCAGCGCAACAAGAGGGTGTGAATTAACGTTTTAAAATAACGCTGCAGCATACTAGGCCAGCTGTGAAACTGTCAACTATACATGTAAATACTGTCCACATTTACTTTACATGCTTAATATTGCTATGTGTTGCAGCTCTCACCTCACAAGGCAGTAGTAACACTGCCTGACAGAATGCACCTGTAATTAGTTCTCTCACAGATACTAGAGTCACTTTCTAAGCACGCTGTGTGGCATAGACTCTTTTTTTTCTTCCATGGGGACTGTTGATCAAAAAGACAAAAAAAAAAAAGAGAACACTGAAAGCTGTCAGGGTCAAACCCAAAAGGAGCCACTACAGCTTCTAATGGTAGACGCCCTCCCTCAGTATAACATATGACTTGACTGTGAGATATTAGCTGCGTCCCAAATGACGCACTATACACTATATGCACTTATACATTATGTACTTATGCACTATGTACTCAACCATATAGGCTTCTGCATGAATTATTTAAGGTTATTTTGTCATTCAGCATCACAGTCTGATAGCCCCGGTTATTTAAAGTGCACTTTTTATTTTTGGAATTTTCAGTGTGAATGCACTACTCGCACTGTTTACACTACAAAATGCCATAGAGTTGTGCATAAGTACGCGATTTGGGACACATCTATGGTAAATTAACGTAAATGTGATGCCACCGGCAAACCAGGCCAGCTGGCAAGAGTATGAGCAGTGGTAATACAAAACTGAAAGTAAGTACTTGTTATACCAGTCTGTGATACTTGGACAATATTTTTGTTTCATTTTAAAAGGAGGAGGGCATGTTTTTGGAGCTGGGAACTTCACTGTAAATGACTTGGTTTAGGATTTGCAGATGGTTGTTTTCTTTTTGGCTGGTTCGTTTTGGAAAGTCAAATAATAATTGACTTTACAAAAGCATAACCGGTGTATTATATAAAACCAGTCTGTTAAAAAAA